CGGTCAGGAATGCTTCCCAGTACTTCACCAGCTGCGCAGAGGAGAGATGAGAGGGTCAGGAGGAGCTTTCCCAGCACGCTTCAAGCCCAAAGCCAGACACTTTTTGGGGTTAGAAGCTCCTCCGCAGGGCACAGCCACCCCAAAGAGGTTTCCAGGGAGGACACGATGCCGAGATCTTGCCCTGCTCCGTTCCCTCCCCATCCCAGCTCTTGAAGAGATCCAAGCTTCAAGAGGTGAAACCGCAACAGGGGCTTGGGTGACTCACCTGCTGCTGAGAGTTCAACAATGTCTCCAGGTACTTGGTGACATGGTTCCTGAAGTCCTTGGATTTCTCTTTCTGTAGGGAGGTGAGTATGACAAGGCTGGAAGACCCACCAAAACCCTCCAGAGAAACCAGGATCTTCCTGGTGCTCCATGAGGAGCTCAGCAGGAGATTCACAGAATGTTAAATGAGGGGTTGGAAAGGACCTCAAAAGATCATCTAGTCCAACGCCCCTGCCAGAGATGCTGAAGATGAAGCATCCCAATGGCTCCAAAGAGTCTTTGCCCACCCACCCTGATGTCAACAGGGACATTTCTCCACGTTGAAGACACCAGTGATGCCCCAACACACACATCTGGATTTACAACAGCTGCACGAGGAGCTGGGTCAACGGTGTCCCCTGGGCTCGTGGCCCAAGGAACCTCCCCAGAAGGTGACACACCCAACGTACCTCAAACCGTATCACCTCCTTGCGGAGGACAGCAGAAATCCGCTCAAAGTCCCTTTCGTACTGCGTCACACGGGACTCCCACTGCAGAGAGAGGAACTGGGATGTCTCCAGGGGAGGGGAGAAGAAGAGGAGAATCTCTGGCTGCCCTCCTCCAACCCATTTTGGAGCCACAACTCTTCACCTGGTGGCATTTCTGGCCCCAGCTTGCTGCGGGCTCAGCCAAGAAGCCACAGGAGGTGGGACCACAAGCAGCCCCTCCCCTCTTGGTGCAAGCTTGGCCATAAATGCCTGTCCCTTCAGCTCAGGTCACCTTCTCACAAGGTCCTGCTCGGCAGCAGAGCACAGAGGGAAGCTGAGCGGAGATCTCAGCCACTTCTCACCCCCTACCTCCGAGATCTCCTCCTTGGCCTGCTGCAGCTTGTCGGGTTTGTTGGCCCAGAGGAGCCTGGCCTCCATCTCCCTCTTCTTCTGCAGCATGGTCTGAGCGTCCTGCCACCGCTGCCAGGTTTTCATGCGCTGGTCAAAGGCTCCCTGAAAGGAAGGAGTGGAGACTGGACTCTGCCACCACACCAGGAGCTCTGCTGACACCTTTGGTAAGGGGGACATCAGAGCAAGGACAACATCCAGGGAGCTCCTGGGCCCATCTCTGTGAAAACAGAACATCAACTGCTCTGCTGGTGGAGAAGCCCAGGTCCAACATCAACCAACTTGTGCTTCAAGAGAAGTTTTGGGGCCTCCCTCCACACAGGGAGCACAAGGAGCTCCATTGGCCTGTCCCACACAGGTCTCCAGTAACAGCTCACAGGCATCTGCCAGGAGGTCAGATGATTTTATGAAGATCCCACCAGGCTCCTGATCATGTCTAGGCAGGTTGTGGAAAGAGCTAGAAGAGCCTGGTCAGAAGGACAGAGCAGCCAAGAGACAGGTAAAGCCTGAGGCTCCCTACCTCAGCATCCCAGATAAGTCACCTCCAGCACTATCAGAGATCTTGGTCCTGCTCTGGAGCACCCACCACACCTCCCAGACCAGACTGGCAGACCAAGGAGGTTCATCCCTGCTCACTAGGTTGCATTCTGGCTTGTGTAGCCTCCAGAAATTCCTCCTGAGGCAGGACATGTCTGGGGCAGGAACAAGCCAGACCACCACTCCTGGCTCACTTGGCACTGGGTCCTCTCAACCTCCAGCAAGGAGACCAGTGCACATGGACTTGGAGACTGCAGCCCTTGCCCAGCAGGTGCTTGGCAGATCCATCTGCAACACCCAGACCACAGGCCAGCATCTCCCAGCTTCTACAGTAGCCACAGCCACCACCTCTGGAAGGGTTGAGGCCACCTACAAGCCACATGCTTGCTCCACAACACCCCTGGAGAGCAGCAGCCCAGCTAGACCTCACCTACCTCAACTTTTCCAAACCAACCAACGTGGAGTGGATTTAGAAGTGCCTGGAAGTGCTCCATGCTTGGATTTAGAAGACCTCCCAACACTCAAGGTGGGTCTAAGGACCAGCAGCGTTGCATAGAACCTCGCCCCAAAGGGCTGCTTACCCTTACAACTGAGAGCAGACGGATGTAGTCTCCCAGGAGCTCAGCCAGGAGGAAGAAGTCATTGTTAGCCTGTTCCTGGTGCAACTGTTCGATCTTCTCCTCCACCTCAGCCAGCTGGGAGAGTGCCCGGGACAGGGCCGTGTTGTCCTCCGAGCTCCCCAGCATGGCCAGGCTCTTGGCAAACTGGGCCGTGTTCAACGCCAGCTCTGAGTGAGGAGAAGAAAGGAGTCAACCAATGGGCCTCAAGCTTCTAGGAAAGCTCCAGCCTTGAGTCCAACCAGAGAAGCTGCTTTTCTACAGCCCCAGGACGTGTCAGCTGGAAGAACCAGAGCTGTCTTGCTGGGACATGGCAGGAGAAGGGCTTGGCAGCTCCAACCAGGGAGGAGGAGGAGGAGGAGGAGGAGGAGAGTGGCACGGTGGGAAGACAGGCAAAGCTGGGCAGAAGGCAGCAAAACATCTCTGCTCCCTGCCAGAGGACAGCTCAGGGTTATCATGGGTGATTTGGGTGGGAAGGGACCTCTGAAGGTCACCTAGTCCAACCCCCCAGCAGGGAGCAGGGACATCCCCAACTAGAGCAGGTTGCTCAGAGCATCATCCAACTTGACCCAGTATGGTTCCAGGGATGGGGGAACCACCATCTTGACCACCTGTCTGGACAACTTGGGTCAAGGTCTCACCACCTTCAGCATCAAAAATGTCTTCCTTAGATCTAGTCTAAATCTCCTGATTTTCAAACCATCTCTCCTTGTCCTGTCCTTCATGGTAAGGAAGCCCTGTCCTATCTTCTCAGAAGAGGCTCCTGGGACATCTGGTGACCTCCAGCGAGGTACCATGCAAGGCTGAAGAGTTTCAAGGCCAAGCTCCAGAAGAAGTGGCACCAAACCTTGTTACCTTTCCTGTGGTTCACCAGCGTTTCCACAACAGCGTGTAACTTCCGCAGCCGTTGGTCCTCGCACTCCACCTCCTGCAGCTTCTCTTCAAACCACTGCAACAGGCAAAGCCAGAGGTGATCCCACAGGTGGCATCACCACAGGGCTGCTTGCACCCGAAGTTTGAGGGGGAGGAGCAGGAGAACATCCCAGAGGTGTCCTGCTACTCACTATGTCCGATTCATTCATCTTGATGGTCATCTTGCTGACAGCATCCGTGGCTTTGTTGAACATCTTCAGTATTCCTGCTCCACTCAGGGTCTGGGTGCCTATTGCTCTTGGTAGCTATGGCGAAACAGAGAAGTTTGCTTTGCCTGGACATAAAAGCAGCTTGGTGAGGGGCCACCACAGTGGCATCGCTCTCCATCATGGGTCCAGAGCTTCTCCACATCCCTCCTGTACAATAATTCCAGTAAGGGCACTGGAGGGGTTTGCAAACCAATGAGGAGGGTCCTAAACCTTGTGTTGTATCTGGGGTCCACCTTGGGTTCAACCTCAGCCTCTCCTGGGACAACTTGAGGCTTGTCCCATCACTTGTTCCTTGGGAGAAGAGCCCGACCCCCACCTG